CAGCGGTTGCAGCAGGACAAACCACTGAGGGAAGAGGTCCAGGGGAGGGGGACAAGGGCGGGGGATGGCAGAGGGCTACGTGTACAGAGGCCGGGAGACGGGCAGTGACACCTGGCTGCAGGAAACGCTTGAAACTGCAGGCAATGATGAAGACTTAACAGGAAGGGAATTGTCCTTTCTGAGAAGGGCATACCCCTAACTCCTTTCCCTTTGGCTCAAACAATTGACACCAGACTTTTCTGGTATGCCAGGGGCTGGGGCAAGGCCACGAACAGCCAAAGGTACTAAGGTATCATGAATCTGCTCCAGGCATTGAGGACTCACTTGAATAAATTCCCCGCCAGGCACTAGGGAGCAATTTGTCCCACTGTGGAGAAACCTGATGGCATGGATGGAGTTATATTGACTTGAAAAAGGTCTGATTTGCCACTGGGGCAGGAGAAGTTGCGGAGGTTGGGTGGGAGCTTGGATTTCACGCTCTCCCTGTAAGGCAGGGGTTTTCATGAGCCCACTGAATGATGGGGACAGAGGTGTCAGTCTGAAGGTGTCCAATGGACTGCCCAGAGACAGCTCTGAAACAAGATGGAAGCCAGGCAGATGCTGTAATATGCAGGTTTGCAAGACCCAGTCTTCAGCAGAGGAGGAGGACAACCCTTCTGTGCACCAAGGATCTAACCAGGACCTTGGTGTTAGATCCTGAGGGTTCATGAGGTGCAGACTGCATGAAGAGGGGCAGCTCTTTAGAGAAAAAAGAGACCTGGGAGCCCCACACCAAAGGTGTCTTCTGGACACACACGTGCAGGTGTAACACCCTGCATGGCACTTATTGCCACTGGATGGATGTGCTTTGATCACCCAGGTATCAGGTCAAGAGAAACAGGGAGAATAGCATTGCTATGGTGAAGGTGTGGACTGCAGCCACAGGTCATCCTTGCATGGAGGCAAGGACTCACGGAAACTGTCTGGATCCCAGGCAGCAAGAAGTGCACATAACAGTTCCACCTGAATTAGAGAAAAGTATATAAAATTAAGCATATTCTGAAATACCTTGTGGTTTTGGCTTCTAGCTACATACAAGTTGCTTGGCTTCTTTACAAGTCACAGTCCAAGCTTGTCATGGGAGATTTAATGACCATCTAAGGGAAGATGTCCTTGACCATGCCAGGGGGGTTGGACTAGATGATCTTTAAAGGTCCCTTCCAACTCCAAACCATTCCATGACTCTGTAACAGACTTTCACCAAATGGTGGTGGTCTGTGGCCTGTGGTCCCCTGTGGTCCCCTGCAGGTGAAGCTCACCCTGGTACTCCAGTGGCTCTCAGGTCACTGGCAGCATTTGCATCCCAGAGTCCTAAGGGAATTGGCTGATGTAGTTGCCAAGCCACTCTCCATGATATTTGAATTTGAAAAGTCATGGCAGTCAGGCGAACTCCCTGGTGACTGAAAAAAGGGAAACATTGCACCTATTTTTAGAAAGGGTAGCAAGGAGGACCCTGGGAACTACCAACCCGTCAGCCTCATCTCTCTGACTGGGAAGATCATAGAACAGATCCTCCTAGAAGCTATGCTAAGGACATGCATAACCATGGAGAACAGAGGGGGTGATTTGAAACAGCCAGCATGGCTTCACCAAGGGCAAGTCCTGCCTGACCAACCTAGTGGCCTTCTATGATGGAGTGACCACATCAATGGACAAGGGAAGAGCTACCAGTGTCGTCTATCTGGACTTCTGTAAGGCCTCTGACACAGTCCCCCACAACATCCTTCTCTCTAAATTGGAGAGATATGGATTTGATGGGTGGACTGTCGGGTGGATGAGGAATTGGTTGGATGGTCGCATCCAGAGGGTAGTGGGCAACAGCTCAATGTCCAGATAGATGACTGGTGTCCCTTGGGAGTCTGTATTTGGACCAGTACAGTTTAATATC